AATACAATTGCCACTAGTAAATAGCTAACACAATGCTGTATACAAACTACATGACGGTGACATGACTTCAACTCAGCATCACTAAGCGAGTTTTGCGTGATGACGTTTAATAATTTGATTTAGCCACTTGTTAGCAACCACAGTTTTTTAAAACATGTATAAAAAATGTTTTACGAGTGCGGGATTAACTGATTTATGTATGTTGTAGAAAAAAACAAGAAAATCTCATAAGCTTGTATCAATCACATACCTTATTTCAAGCATCTAACCTAAAACGCCTTCAAGAAACAATTGACCTCAAGACGAGAGAACCCAAAAGTGCTAAAATGCTAACTCATTTTCTTTTAGAACTCAGGCTGCCCTGCCCATCAGCTGACCTCTTTGAAGAACCAGGCGACGAGGGAGCCCAGGATGAGGGAGTCATTGGCCTCCCGGTCGTTGTAGGGCAGGCCGATCTGGCAGGTCTCCCACAGGTCCCCCTTCCAGCGGTCCAGCTTCCAGGCCGCAGAGCCAATATCAAACAGGATCACAAAGGGGCTGCCCTCGATCAGCCAGCGGCCACAATGAACCTGCAGCATCAACATCAACAACATTGATATATTGTGATTTTAAGGGTGTCTATTACCATCTGGCCGGGGACAACAGATGGAAATTAGCCATGTTGGCTAGAGCTGCCCCATTTACTGTTTTTTGTGACAGTTGATCAATGGGGACTGTCCACGACACTATAAACAAATAAACTAAACTAAACATCGGTAACGGAAGCTCAGAGAAAGAGGTACACTCTACAACTGTTACTAAGCTTAACCTTCAAAACATTTGGCTTAAGTTTCAAAGCATTTTGTAGGAGTAAGTGGAACTTGTACATATTTTGGGTTGGTTAAACTAACTAATATTTTTTACTTGTACTTGTTTTATGGTGTGTGAGCTGTGCTGTGTGATTTTGTTTGTTTATTTGACTGTACAGCACTTTGGTCTGGAGGTTTTAAAGTGCTTTATAAATAAAGCTGTATTGTATTGTATTAAATATCTGACAAGTATGTAATCATATAGTTGCTGGTCTTTATTGAGGAGCCAATCAACATAGAAATGGTGCAGAGCAGTGATTTTTTTTTAAATGAAGCTACAGGTACAGTGCACAAATCCTACGATTAACGGCCTTCCTACTTATGTCTCCACAATAGACATAAGACATTTCAATTGGTGTAACACACAGTCACCTGGCAGCCGTTGTGGATGAGGGCGTCCATGGCCTTCCTCACGGCGGGGTTGGGGGGCTCGCAGGCCTCCACCTGTGTCTTGAAGTTGTGTTCGTAGTAGGGCCCCATCATGTAGTAGTTCTCCCCCCATTCATCCACCGTGATCTTGGCTTTGGTCTGGAGCACTGTGTAGATTCCTCCAACTTCAAATTGAAAAAGAAAACATGTTTTTTAAAACTTTTTCTCAACCTTCAAATATTAACAGATGAAGGTCACTCGGGTTTACCTTTGGGACCCTGTTTTTCGTCAACATACTAATAAAGGTCAAAGATCCGATGGCCTCCAAGATGTGGTTGCAACCACATCTTTTTTATGGCAGTTCAAGTCACATGTGCATATTGTTATTCATGGTTATGATGCTTTAGTGAACTTACCATGTTGATCCCTTTGAAGTCAAACAGATCAGGTTCATAGTCTGACTAGTCAAATGTTTTTGTTTTTGCACGTTTCTGATGTTGTCTTACTGTTCAGGTATAGGCTGGTAAATATGACACGGTCACATTTATAAAGAAAGTGCACTTTTATTCAAAAACCTAAATTCTACATCAACCATAAATGTTTAATGCAAATGTGTTCATGTTCATAAAGCCCTGATTATTCTGAAAAAATGCAAGTGAAATGGGCCAAATATCCTTATGTGTAGTTATTAAGAGACTTGAAGAGGCACATGTGTTCCAAGGCAAAAATTAATTTCAGAACTTTTATGCAGTTGACTTCTCTGTTAGTTTTGGCTCTTGTAAGTCAGAGGAATTATTTGTTTTGATGTGTTGAAAGTCTTTAATTCAAACAGAAATTCTCAAATTGGTCTTTAGTAATCCTGAGGTTGATATTTTGTGTAGTTTATCAAACAAACAATGAAGCGTTTATTTTGCAATAGGCCAAAAACATCTGGCAATGATTTCCAGACTAAAAGGTGTCAAGATATACACATCTTCAAACATCAGTGAAGTTTACACTTTATATACATCTTGGAGTAACATTTCTTTTGCAGGGAATAAGGAACTGGTATTTGGTTGAGAATAATATTAAGATATATATTGAGGAATAAACATCACACATGGATGATTGTTAATATTGTTGAATGAATCCGATATGGTGTTTGTGTAAAATATGTTTGTATTTGGCCGTATTCAAGAGTATCACATGGTGTAAAAAACAAAATGTGAAGTTACTGTTGGACCGTTTCCACACCTGATTTCAGCCTGAGTTGAATGTTACACATGTTGCAAAACCTCCACATGACCCAAAGTACAGAGATCATGACCCCCACATCAGTAGTATGGCAGAAAGTCAAGTCAAGCTACATGTGATCATTTATAAATTGTTACGCCAGGAATGTATTCATCCAGTTTATAAAAATGTTATGTAAATGTCAATGTCTTTTTTTTTCATGTTTTGTTCTTTAATTTTCTCACATGTTTTAAAGGAGTTTTAAACGGCCAAAATATTAGTCAAGCGGTTCCTCTTTCAGCACTTATCTGCAGGTCAATGTTTAACTTTTTAGAGTGAACAGCCTCTGTCCATGCTCACTGGATTTCAATATTTGCTCTTTAAAGGGTAAAGAGGCAGAGATTTACACAAAATATTACCAATTGCCAGACTCTGAAAGTGCTAAAATGAAGTTCCACTACATTTTCTGTATTGGCTTTGATTCCAAAATATTTGTTTGAATACTTGAAATGAAAAGGTTGTGCATGTCTAAATAAATCCATATTTTCACTGTATAATTTGCAATTTTTTGGATGAAGGCCTTCTACACTTGGAATCATGCATGAATTCAGACATGTCATTTATTTCGGGTTATTAAAGCACCATTACAAGTGATCTGACCTTTGTTGGTGACCTCCCAGGCCACCTCAAAGAGCAGCAGGTCCTCCACAGGCAGCTCCTCTTCCTCCCAGGCTGGCAGCACCCCGCTCAGGGACGTCATGGACAGGGAACGAGACAGCGGCATTTTCAAATGTCCCGAGGTCCGACAGACACCGTCGAAATGTTGCTGCAGTCTGTGAAGAAAGGCTTTTAACAGGCCTGCAGGTGGAGGTCCTGGGATCAACTGTGACAATCCTCCAGGACAAGACAAGAGGGACGAACAGAGCTTCTACTCCGCCTACCAACGCTGTGGTTCAGCCAGCAGGAGGTGACGTTCAACGCACTCTCAAAAATGATTGAGAAATGTTGATGAATGAAAGCAGGTCTCTCTACTAGGAAAGAAAGATAGCAACAGATGCAGGAATGTTCTCAATCCTGCATTGTATTATCATTACCAGAATGTTTGCTACTTTACTTTACTTAAGTTTTTTTATTCACTTAGTTTATTTGAAAGGGACATTAGATCTTCCGTTGCAAACTGAAAACCCACTTGTTCCAAGTGCACCTTGGGCATTATATATATATATATCTAAAAATATATATATTCTTAGAATATTTAGGTCAATTGAGACCAATGCACCAGCACTTATAATGGTATTGCTTATTTAAAGAAAATGGTTTCTTGACTTTCTTAATTCAAGGTTAATTGCACTTATTCTAAATTGCTTTGGATTAACGCTAAGTGAAATGTAATACTCAATATAATACTTGTTAACCAACATTAAAAGCTGTACATGTGAAAACTGTACATAAGCCAATAACAACCGAAAACACTATGGTTCTCCCTGTCCAATTGTTAAAAAGACGCCCTTAAAATAAATTAAAATGACATGGGATATGAAATGATAATAAATATTTGACTTTTCAATGTAGTTATGGTTAAGAAACCTAAGTAGAGCGAGGACGGCTTTCCAGTTTCATGTTTTGCTGAATTACTGCTTGCAGCTGCAGTCCTATGGAGCCCTCTGGCTTGTGAGATGTGTAATGCAACAATGTATACTTTACTTTGTCGTTATTCTTATATTTTCAACTTTTTAGACGTACAATACCATGCCATTTTTCTCATATTTGCACTATGTCGTTTTTTGTGACATTTTCAACATACTATTTTTTTTTTTTATTTCTACATATTATACTATACTATATAGTATAGTATGTAAAAAAAAAACACACAGTATACAGTATGTCAATAAATTAGAAAAGAGCGGTATAATATGTCAAAAATATCCGAAGAAACTGCATACTTTGAAAATAACGACATTGTATGTTGAACCAATTAGAAGAAACGACATAGTATAGTAAGTCGAAGAATTTGAAAAAACGACATAGTATAGTGTGTCGAAACATTTGAAAGAAACAACGTAGTATTGTATGTCGATAAATAAACAAAAACGACATAGTATATAGTATGTCTAAAAATGTGAAAAAAAACAACATAATATGTCGAATTCATTTGAAAAATGTAATCTATGGCATAAATGCCAATGTGTTTAATGCAAAAAAATTGGTAATTGGTGTACATGGATTTCCAGACTTACGTCACAGGGAATAGAAAACAGTTTCAATAATTTTTTTCCAACTATTGTAAGTCACTTTGGATAAAAGCCTCAGCTCAATATAATCAAATGTAATGTAACAACTCAGTGCAACATTCTGCTGCCTCTTTATGCATCACTGTATCCAAACTGAAACCTGAATTGTGCAATTACGCGTCCTGACTTTTGAGCCTTGGTTCCGTCAATTATTTAATTTTAAAATGTTTACGAATTTGCCATTTTTCAGCACGCAGGAACATATTATTTTGAACTGGATAAAGGATCCAGAAGCGAACAGAGCTGACAACATTTCCCAGAAGAGCTGATGGGGGACACATTTCAGCAGCAGCTCCGCAATTTACAGCAGGGACGCACACCACTGTGATTGGCTGTGAGCTTTAAGTGCAAGAGGTCACCTTGTGAAAATATAAAGCAGGTCTGATATGAGTAGGTGAGCATTGACACTTTTTATCTGAACTGCTCGGACCCAGATTCTGCCCCAACATGAGACTTGTGGCTCTGGCTCTGGCTGTGGTGTGCGGGCTCATTGTGGCTCAGGAGGGACGAAGTGTGGACACAGCTCTGACGGGATTTGACTCTTCACAGAGGACACGCACAACAGGTGGGAAACCTAATGAAATTAAACCCAAAAAAAGGCTTTAACTTAACATTTCCTTCACGGATAGAGCACATTTTAGTTGGCAACTTTGCAAAGACAGCATCTTAAATCTAATTACACTTACTCAATAGTCAATGAAGTAGGCCTCTTTAAATTCAGCTCTACCTACCGACAAGGAAAAAAGGGAAATATATTTAAAAATAATGTATGGTGGAAAACAATTCTAGAGCTTTTAGATTATGATTCCTGCCATGGAGCAAAGGGGAAATGATTGACAGTTACCGTAACCTCTACCTTGATATTATATCCAATGTTTTTTGCTTACTTTGTTGTTGTTCCACCCTATATTTCAGTGTATTGTTATTAGTTAATGCAACCTAATTACTATTAACATGTAAATATGCTTTGGGAATATAAATAGTGTTAAGTCATGACAAAATAGCCATTTAAAATTAATAATAATAATGATAATATAACTGTTAAGCAAGTCATTTTACAAATAAGCCCTTCTTAAAATGCAGAACTTTTTTATTTAAATCCCAGGCTTAAAGTCTGGATTTGAATATTTAGAAATGTATGTTGAGAACTAAGACATACAGAAAATATAGTTTAAGGCTACCTGAACAAATATATAAAGGTATACTTGTGGATTATCTGTCGCCACTTTTTAAATAGCGGGTAGCTGGCTCCTCCACATGAATTGTTGTATTTCTCAAAATAACAAACATTAATTTAGAGTCTGAAAAAAACAAAAAAAGTGCGTATTTAGAGAGTTTGAAAGAAACAACAAAAAGTGGCGATAGATAACCTACAAGCACCAATATAAATATGAGCTTTTATGTATGTGTAAGTGAGTAAGATTCAATATAGTCCTTAATTAGTTGAACTTGTTATTAAGTTTAGTCATGATTTGCTTTTTCCCCTGGTATTCAGAAGCACGTGTAAAGTGCATATTTAAGTGTGAGCGGATGTGTGGTGCTCTTCCCTCAGGGTCCGTCCTCTCGGCCCTCCGGAGGTCTGCAGGAGACTTTCTGACGGAAGATGGCGCCCCGTGTATGTCCCTCAGAGAGAACGAGGACCAGCGGCAGCTCCTGTGCAACGACCGCCGCAGCAAATTCAACATCAACGCGTTCGGGCTCCGCTTCGGGAAACGGTACAACGGCTACATCTACAGGAGAGCCGTGAAAAGAGCCAGGAGAAATAAACTCTCACCTTTTCTTCTATTCTCGCGAGAAGTGGAGGTGCCTACCTGAAACAGATGTGAGTTATCCTCTGAGGACTTGTGTCCCATTGGTGGAATTCCAACATGTGACAAGAGTCTTTCCGCTTGTATGTGAAAATTGCATTTTTCTTGAGATAAAAAGATGTGTTTCTGTGAATACAACTTTTTTACCTACCTTAACTGTGAAATTATTTCTAAGAATCTGCGCTGTCTAAATAAAAAGGTTTAATGGACTTTTATTATTAGGTGAAGATGTTCTTACTTTCACAATTAAAGTGCTCTATTCTATAACATAAAAAATGCTCTCTTGTAATTTTCTGCAGTTTTTTAATTAAACTACAGACAACACACAGTCCACACGTTGTTCAGCAGCTACGTTGTGCATGATTCAATAGGCATCATTCATGTTAAATAAAAAAGAATAATTAGAAAACCAAAATAAATTACTTATTTTGAAATACTATTGAATATTAGTTAAATAATTACATTACATGTCATTTGTTAGACACATTACATTACATGTCACACGCTCTTGAGGAAGCGGAAGGAACGTGTGTATGAGATTATTCTGTCAAATTGAAAATGTAATTTGGGACGATGTCGAAAATGTTTCACCCATCAATAGCATATTTACTATTAATAAACAAAAAGCTAGTGTTACATTTAAATCCAGAAATCTGTTCAAAACTAATTTCATTTTAAATTACAAAAAAAAGCGTAACTTCTTCTGGCTCAGTATCACAGAATTTTGTATCGATATCAGTACATTTTTAAATTGTATATTAATACCTTCCCTATTTATAAATCCCAAAATGTTATTTACCTAAATGTTTGGGATCTGTTATATTTTTTCCACTAATGTAAAAAAAAAAAGATGAATAGCATTCCAGGAAAAGGCTACAGCTTTTAAACAAGGATTTAATTCTATAACATCTGATAACCTCATCTTTTAACTCTTTGATACTTGAATGGCATTGGTTACAGAAATTGATCCTAAAGCTGGGAAGTAACTCTATAAATGATTGATTGATATAATATCCCTATATGCATTCATTACTGTTGTTCTAAGCATAAATACATTTATAATAAGCGTTTCTGTTGGAATGTATACCTAATATTTTAAACATTATATGTGGTAAGCAATTGACGATTATTTGTTTAATCCATGTGATTTTATAGAAGCAAAATATGTTTTCTTGTAACCGATTTATTCTCTGCACAGTTGTGCCTATTTTTATAATGAGTAAATTATTAATATCCTCAATGGCTGCATTATTAACAAAGGTACAAAATAAAACAGACACACTTCTTTTCTTTAGGTTCAAATGTATTGAGTTAAACACAGGGTCAGACAGTAACAACTAGTGTTTAAAAAAAAAAAACTTGTGCTGGACATCCCCACTCTTCCCCCGCTGCTCCATCTCTCTTTGCTAACACTGAGGAAACGGGGGGGGGGAAACCCACTTTCACATTTACAATGTCACAATTTCATTTCGGTAGGGTACCATTTTAAGACAAAGGTGCAAGGAAATAGGTGTCCTTTTGGATATTTGGGGTCTTTCATAAGAGGTTTATGGTCTTTCTCTAGTGATTTCCTGCAGGGAGCTAAAGGAACGACTGTACCTGAGGGTACAAGGAGAGACTTGTTAAAGGGTTGTGCTTTATCCTACTCCAAACTGTTAACAGAGTACAGTAACACAGGTCGTTTTACATCTCTTAACACAGAAACAACTTCAGCTTAACTACTGGGGAGGAAATCTGTTAATTTAAAGGAGCATACCAGTGTTTTATTTTACTTAAAATTGATTGACAGGAAGTTCATGACATTTTGCAGCACTGATGAAAACAGTTAAATCACGCTGTATGATGAAAAACACTTGTATTCTCCTTCAAAATAAGAGATACAGTCTAATGGGGTTATATGTGCGTATCAGCAGGCTTCTGCATCAAAGGTTTTGAGTGTGTGTGTGTTCAGACGTCCTTCAGGTCCTTCTGGATGCCCCACAGTGTGTCTGCGCTGTTCCTCAGCTGGCCCACCTCGGCGTCCGTCAGAGTCATGTTGATCACGCTGCTCACACCGCTGCTGTTCAGCACGCAGGGCAGAGACAGGAAGACCTCCTCCCCGATACCATACATGTCCTGAAAACACACACACACACACACACACACACACACACACACACACACACACACACACACACACACACACACATATACACAGAGTTAGGGTAGGGAGTATACATTGTGGGGAAATGGTGAAGTCAGTATACAAAGCACCCTGCAGTGAATGACACATGCAAGCTTAAAGACAGCTGTTTAAGAAAATTCATTCAATTTTGACAAGAGATAAGGAGTTCATTATTATCATAATTATTTACAAAATATTTGTAATTATTTTTATTTTTTTGTACATTTAAATGTTTTATTTTACCTTTTTATTGCACATTCTTACTTTAACTGCTTGTGTTTACATATTTTAATTTGTTTTTATTTATTTTCTTTCATTCTAAAATAGAACAACAATCACAAAACCCCAAGTTCCCCTGATATATATCAATACATAACTCTGAGTATGATTGCTTTAGAATAAGAGATCTAAAAGTATTACAATAATAATTTGTTTCATGTGAATTGTTTTATATAACATGGGATTTTAGTATTTTTCAAAATTATACAAATTGGACAATCTCAGTGAGAACTACTAAAAACAGCGAGGAGCATAGATGAAGGTTGTGATCATTTGCTACAAGTCCAAAAAACTACCAAGTAGGGTCCTGAAGTCCCCATATCACTTGTACATTGTAATACCATTAGTGGCAAATAAGTTACGTAATAAGTACTGTTAAGGCATAGTATTATCTGAAATTATTCGGAAATGAAGGCCTTGTGTAAAACGTGCAATGTGAAATTAACAATTAACAAATGACAACAAAACAATGGTGGCTAATAGTTTAGCTAGCTTGCCCAATAATCACATTTTTTAAGTGTGTGTATGTCCTGTGTGTCTGACCTTGACCATGGTGGAGACGGGATGGACGCGGCTCATGTTCTTGATGATGCTCTCAGTCAGGTCGGCCACACTGAGACCGATGGCCCAGTTAGTGTAGCCCTTCAGCTTGATCACCTCGTAGGCACTGGAGACAAAGCAACACACGCTCAACATCTATACAGTAACCCTCTCAAAACCGTACGATCTGACTAGAACTTGTAAAGAACTGAGCCCTAATGGATGTCAAATCTATTTCATGGTCATATGACAAATATACAAACATAATTCTCTATTTTTATAGATATCATACAACACAATCTATTGTAATTGTATTGCAAAAATATGTTATGCATTATATTCTGTAAGTAACTACATTACAATGTGTAATTTCAAGTCATCATGACTAAAGCATATATACCATTATACCTTTTTTTACTTGCTTGTAAGCGCTTTGAGCACCAGGAAAAGCGCTTTATAAATGTAATGTATTATTATTATTATTAGCACGTCTTATTATAAGTAGACTGTAACTACCTAGATGGCTCAATAATAATCAATTGGTTATGCCATCATAAGATTTAATTATAAAGAGTAATGTCTGCTAACATAACCAGCTTATTACAATAGCTGTCTTTGATGCGCAGCCTGAGGTCTGCCAGGCTGTATCGACTGAAGCTGGCACTAACACATCGTGGTTAGAGGTTACATTCCCCCTGGGGCCACTTTATCCAAAAAGGGAATCACTCCTGGCCTCAGATAACAGAAGCACTTACAGCTCTGCCGCTGATAGACATGATAAACAATGCGAAAATAATTCATTATCAAGTCAATGATAGCACTTAACAGCAGATTTAATCATTTGTAAACAAATTAAATGTTTTGGTTTCATGATTTATCTTCATTGTACAGCCTTGACATGATGCAGTCGTGGAAAAAAACTACAGACACTTAAAGGTGGGGTAGATAATTTTGGAGAAACCAGCTCGAGTGCTAGAATTTGAAAATACACAACCGGAAAGAATTTCCCACTTCCTTACAGAGCCCCTCCTCCAACACACACGAACGCGCACATGACCAATGAGGGCACGAGATAAGTTTGTGCACAGATGGAAGGCTGACAGGCAGCTTTTTACAGCGCCACGGCTTCCACAGATGACATTTTTTTATGTATTTATTGTCAAAGCATTGTCAAAGCATTTAATATATTCATTGCGGATCGGGATGTTAAGAGCATTCCATGGAATATAACAAAAAGTGTTTCTGAAATAAATTACATACCCCACCTTTAATATATGTGTCTATCATCTTCACACCAGGATAATTCTAACAAACACAAACACAGAAAGGATGTGTTCTTGGTTTTCTTAACAGAGAAGACAATTGATGAGATTTGCCAGATCTTCTTGATAAATTACGTTTTCTGAAACTCAAACCTAATTTGGTTTTGCTATCTGTTCACGCTCTCCCACATTTCCTCACACACTCCGTACCTGTCAACTACAGCCTTGTGCGTGGCCTTCCACTGCTCACTGTCATCATCAGTGCCAATCTCAGGGTTCAGCTTCTGCAGGTTGACTCCTGCCACGTTAGCACCGCTCCATACAGGCACTGAAAAAACAACGACACATAAAGTCAATACTGATCTATGTTTCAGGTAAAATTACATTCACCATATATTTTAGAAAAATATCAGGATACATGTATTTATTATCCTTGCAAGAATGGAAGTAGTCATCACATACAGAGCATTTGGTACAACTAGTTCCCCGAACAGTGTCCTTCAGATGCTGATATACAAGAGAGGGAGTTACACAGTCACGAGATGCAGGAATACCGGCTCAAAGCAGTATACAATGTTTTTTTAGATTAGCTCACGTCAGAAATGATCATGCTTGTCATATGTCTATCTCCATAGAGCTATCATATGCCTAAAACAGTGTGTCCTGATGCTCTTCCAGGTAATCATACATCCTGTCATGTACACAGCTACGTAGGGCCTTTGTTATCATGTGCTACTCTGATATTAGAAGAGTACATTCATTATTTTCCCAACAATATCCGACAAATATTCCTATGATTGTTAACTGATAGTAAATAATCGAGTGTGTTCCCCGTGTTGTACCCACCGCTGGTGTCTCCGTGCTCGCCCAGCACCCAGCCGTTGAAGGAGCTGGCGTGGATGCCCAGGCGCTCGGCCATCAGGAAGCGGAAGCGGGCCGAGTCCAGGTTGGTGCC